CAGCAGAATCACTCCATGGCCTTGGGGTGGCAGGTAGGTTTCTAGATATTTCATGATGTTTCTAGCCTTCTAGATCTTCTAGCAGAGCAATCCCCATTCGATCTCGCTAGCTGTGCCAGGCCCGGATTGCTGGAGCTTTGGGTGGCCGTGTGGCGGAGCAGTTGGTCTTCGGCAGCTCCCAGGTGACCACTGGTGCTGGGGGAGATTTGCAGCAGGTGGAGCGCATGGCTCGGGCCATGGTCACCCAGTTTGGCATGTCCGATGCTCGGTTTTAAGCTCCCTTGGTGTGGAGACAAATTTTGACAACAGAGGGGGGCCCTTGGAATTTCCCACGGGGTACCTCTTAACAACGAAAGTCATTTTTAAATAACGAAAGCACCATGTTAAGAGCGAAAGTGAATCTTGCAATTGCGAAAATTAATCACTTTCTGTTCAGTATGGGGCGAACACAAATGCCGAGGTTTTGAGGAACCAAGGGTTGTCTGGAGAGGAACGTTGGGTAGACCATGTGAGTTGCGTTTCTTTTTTTGGAACACAGCGCTACACGTCCTCACATTTTTCATCATCCGCAAAGGCTCGCGTAGCCACTTCGCGGAGAAACTACAATGTTTTGGTGCGACGGCCATTTGCGAAGGCACTTGTTATTCATTTGCTGAACCATCTACTTCATCAGCAGGTAGGGATTCACATGTCTGGAGGATTGTTCAGGAGTAGGTCGAACTGTCGAACCTAACTGATTTGATTGACCAAAGTGGTGCGCTGCTTAGACACCTCAAACTGACAGATCTGTTTTGCTGCCTTGTGGATCCCTCTTTTGTAGTTTGATGCCTTGGGGGCGATATATTTTTCAATCATCTTCTACAGGACATTCATGGAGTCAGTCCTTGCACACAAGCTTCCCAACGCACGACCAAAGTAAGAGAACCTAGAGAACAAGATTGCGACCATATATCATTGGCTGGTGCAGGCATGGGTGAGTGGCAGATTGAGAAGAGGCACTACCTCACTGGTGCGCAAGAAGGTCAAGTCGTCTATTGATGCTAGACTGTTTATGCCATCAAGCGTTTGGCTGACCAACATCAATGCCTTCAGCGCGCCCACGGGGAGGAAATTGTCAACTGGGACATTGAGTCCGCAGAACGACGGACGAAAGTGATGTGGAGTCCAAGACCTGGCGCAGAACCTTCAAACCTGAAGAAGTCAATGAACTTGTCTGACGGTTCTCTTCGCAAAAGCGCCGTGAGCCACCAACTCCGACTGATTCTGTAGACCTCTTGCTGTCCAATTAAAGCTGCTGCGAGACTGCAAAATGCAGCTCTCAAGACAAGACGGCGAACGAAAGCCTTGCAGGTTTCTGAGTCCAGCTCTGCGTCCTCAACCTCTTCATCTTCATCTGAATGTGGCACTGACTCCGAAGGTTCTGCTTGAAAAAGGTTGCGCGCTGGTCTTGTCTGCGCCCAACCTGCAACGTGCAAGAAAACGCGCTAGGCCGTGACTCGTAGGCAAATTCGCTGAGAGATTGGCGAAAGCTTCGCAGAGGTATGCGTACCTATAGTCAATAGTCGCTGTCCCCAAACCACGCAAAAAACACGGCTCATGTGGCCCCTGAGAAGGCAGGCCCAAACTACCCTGATTTGGATGGCTTTAGAAGTTGTTTGCGAAGGATAAGCTTGCTTTAGGATCTGGTTGTGTGAAAGAGCTCGGGGATTGGGTAATTAGCTCAATGCCAGTCGCAGCATATCGCAGCAAGCGCTAAAATGATCGCAGGGTATCAGGGCAGGGGAGAGGGAGGCGCACCAATGTTCAGGAGGTGAATCAGAAGGCGGCTCCGCCGGCAAAGTCCTTCCGTCCACAAGCGCCGCCAGCGAAGGCAGCGCGGCGCCATGGCTACTCACGAGGGCCAAGTATACCTTCGAGCCACTTCGCTCGCTTGGTCAGCAGCATCGTGCCTGACAGGCCTGATGGAGGACGCTGGCAGATAGCTGTTGATGGTTTGGATTGCCTGCGCTCTACGTCAGAAGGGTTCGTGGAGGAGATCTTTGCTGACAGCTTGGTCTAAGCAAGGCGATTTGTATAGTGCTGTCTGGAGAGCAGACATTCGGCTGGCGCTGCGCGCCAGGGCTGACTCAGCAGCGTGGGTGTGCAGGGCGCTCTTGTTGTATACAAAGCAAAGTCCTCTCTGGAGTCTCTGGAGTGGTTCTTTCTGGTTTTTGTAAGATCGAAAACAAGGGCTGACTGGCCTCTCCGTCCTTGGCCATTTCAAAAGGTACTCCGTCCTTGGCTGTGTCTGGGAACTTCGCAGCCCACCCCTCCGAGGTCTGTCAGGACGCAACAAATGGCGAGCCACGCCAGCGTTAACTGGCAAAGGCGCGGATGGAGGCCTGCCTGATTTCTTGTCGGATAGAAGACAACAAGGGACAGGCCTGTGCATCTATTTCAAGAGATGTGCTTTACAGACCGTCCCAAGTTGCAGAGACCTTCCTAAATCAATTTTACGCACCCTAAAAACGGACCTCTCAAATCAAATTTTCACCCCCTAAAAAGCATGAGCGCCGGGGTCTTTGCCACTCTCATGATGCCAGGGATGTTGTGGAGAGGAACAAAGACCCTCCTAAATCAATTTTGTACCCTAGCAGAAATGTCGTGGGGACGAAAAGTTGCAAAGACACGCAGAGACCCTCTTAAACCAGTTTTTCGTACCCGACAAGCGCAACCAGCAAAGTCTTTCAAACTCTGTGACAAGTTTGGCGGGGCACCGCCCGCAAGGATCAGCTCTGCAAAAGTTGCCAAGACCTTCCTACATCAATTTTTCGCGCCCTGAGACGCACAGGCAGCGGGGTTTGGGGGACGCCCGAAAAGTTGCAAAGACGACGCTCGATGTGTTGTTTTATTGTAATCAGGAACACCTCGGAACTTCACGGACCACTCCGGCTCCCAGATAACGCGTTGGCTTTGCCAGGACGCAAAAGAAGGTCGTCGACAGCAGCGGAGGGCGACTCCAGCCGGCTCTTGGATGGAGGCCTGCCTGTTATTTTGTCGCGTAGAAAACAAGGGTTTCTGGAGATCCGGTCTGGGGACTCCACAGACAGGGCTGAGTTGCAAAGACCACTCTGAAATTTTGTTGCGCGCAAAACGAGGAGGGGCAGGTCTTTAGTATATCAGGAGATACTCGCGGGAACTTCGCAAACCCCCCGTCTCCCAGATAACGCGTTGGCTTGGTCAGGGTGCAAAAGAAGATGATCGACGGCAGCGAAAGGCAAAGCCAGCAGGCTCTCGGATGGAGGCCTGCCTGATTATTGTCGGACAAAAGCATTTGCAACTGTATGGTTCGCGATCCGGAAACTCTACAAACAGCCCCGAGCTGCAAAGACCCCGCTGGATGTGTTTTCTTGCATACAAAACAAAGAGGGCCAGGTCTTTGCAACTATTTCAGGAGACACCGCCCGGGAATTCGCAGACCACCCCGGTCTCCCAGATGACGAGTTGGCCACTTTTTCATCCAAAATGACATGTCAGCTCTGGCAGGACCCGAAACATGGTGAGCCAGCAAGAAAGAAGCGAAGACATTGAACAGTTCTGTTTGCAATTAGACGGTTTCTGTTTCGCAACTAAGAAACCACCAAGCTTCGTAGTCAAAGGGCGCCCCAATTCCCAAAACGTACTGTAAGTCTTCCGAACGTTTTCCTTTGCAAGTCACATCAACGAGTTTCAACTTGGTGCTGAAGTTCTTTTACTCCTGACTCATGATGAACGAGTTGGTTGACTTGAGGAGTGCTCTTGAGGCGCTGGGGGTTCCTTAACGACCCTAGTCTAGTTGATCATACTGATCTAAGGACGTGGGCTCCATTGCCATCGATGACGGGGGGCTTTGGTGGGCCCAACTATTCGGAGGACTTGAACTCAAAGATTGACAGCGCCTCGCCAAACTCATTCGTAGAAACGTTCCATGATGGCAATATGCCGAAGTCTGCAACCGCTCTTTGTGTTTGGTGTTTTCCATTGTTTTCCTGCTTTGTGTTTTTTCACGGGAAGTTGGGGAGGAACTTGATCCCTTGATGTTCTTCGGGGCAGCAAGGCGCTATCAAGGACATCTCGGACGAGTGCTTCCAAACAGCGTGGAATCTGCTGGAGACACACCGAGATTGCTTGGACAGAGTGGCTGAGGAGCTTTGCGAAATGGAAACCATCACCGGCGACAGGCTCCGAGAGATCGTTGCCCAATACACTGAATTACCAGAGAAGATGGCTGCGGTTTGAGGCTTCAACTTTAGCGAAATGCGTTTGAATGAATTGCACTTTCATTGGTCATAAAACCACTGAATTCTTGTCGTTCCATTGCACGCGTTTAGAGACACAACTCTATTGTACAGGGTCAGTCTTGATGCGAGTTTTGTTCTCGCTCTTGTTTCTCAACCTCTCAGCTGGATTGACGTCGGTCACATCCTCAAGCTACTCCAATCTTCGTGCACAGTCAAAACCTGATTGAGGTCAAAGAACTTAGTTTACGTGTTTCATTTTTTTTTTCCTGTTGTACATTTTAAATACAAGGAAGGAATCCTTGCAACACTTCCAATCAGTTTTGACCCTTGCACCTCACACCTTGCTGAGTGGAGCCAGACCATGTACAAAGCGTGGCTCCTCCGGTCGATGGGAAAATGAAACACATGTTTGGAGCAACAGACGATCTTGAATCCTTTCACGTCGTATGCAAGATGTTCAATGTAAAATTCATTAAGGTTCACTGACAGGGTTTAAAAGACAATGACAACTCGACTAATTTAATCCCATCAGCCCAAAACAATTGGAAACAGAGGCTCCTCTCGAAGAAGGGCGAAGGGACCTTTTCAGAGGTCTTGAAGGCGGGAATTCTGGCCAAGACGGCAAGGACTCGCACATTGCACACGTTGACAAACTGTTGGAGTAGAACCGCTGAACCAGCATTTCATGTTTTGCCTTTCCTTTTCGCAGGCCCAAGCAATCAAGTCGGGAAAGCACGTTGCGATAAAGTGCATCTTGCCCTACCTGGGCTTTGGCGAAGTGATGCGGGGTGGCAGGAGATTAGTCTCCAGGTCTAAATAGCTTGATGGTGCGAGCATGTGCCGCGAGCCTTCAATTGATAGGAACCCTGAGAACGGACAACGCATGTAGACAGGATCATTCAATAGGTTGAGAGAAACATGTCTCATGCATTCAATCCTTCACGTTGGAGACATGCTTGCATCCCAGGCATGAAGAACCACTTTGACAGCATCGAACAGGTGAACAACCTCCGAGAAATCCAGGCACACTTCCTCCTGCTTCCCAAGGCTAAGACAACGACCAAGCTCCTTTCCAAAGCTCATGGTCGGAAGGTGCTATTGTGCTAATCATTACATATATATATATATACAGTATATATATACACATCCCAAAGATTCAATTCGCTTAAAGCTTTGCATACCTGAAATTTCAAGAAACTCGCTCAGCGTCGCTCGTCCGCTTCAGAACCTTCAGGCCCTCCGCCGATTGGTGGGACATCCGAATATTATCAAGCTTCACGAGGTGCAAATTTCCGTTTTCACTATCAGTCTTCATGTGGAGTTATAAGAAGTTATGACAGTATGCAAAGGTCCAATAGCATGCAAAGCCTGTGCGGCCGCAACAAGCCAAACCGATTTGGGGCAGAGACCTACTCTAGCGAGGCCACATTGAGTCAGCTTAGTCGAAGTATGTCAAAGTCTCGAAGTATGTCGTAGTCAACATCTTGACTTTAAGTTGACTTCTCGCCACAATTTGATACATCCTGCCAGTCCTGGAGCCGTGCTGGCTCGATCACGTCTTCACGTTTTACTACATTCCTTGGACTGGGTCTTAAGCTAGGACTTTGATGTTTGCGACGTATGGCTTGGGAAACTTGGACTTGACGATGTTAGATTTTCATGTCCATACGCAGCGTGAGATTGGAACCTCAGAGCCTTGCAATCTGAGGCATTGTCCTATGACACAGCAATTGGTTTGGCTCTTTCATTTCTTGCCTCTTGGAGTTTCAAGGAAGGCATCGCTCTTGTTGTTCCGAGATGATGGCGATGATCACCGCGTTGATGATAGTTTGATAATACTGACTTATTTTATCATCGTTGACATTTCCTCTACAAAATGAGAGGTCCTAGGTCCACTACAAAACAATTTTTTTTGTAGCAACCATACTCGGGGATATTTTTGTGCAACCAATATATATTTTGTCTAAACGATCTAAACGCACCATCGCGAAGGAAGTTGAACATGCATAATTTGAAGGCCAAGTCTTTTTGTAGAGAGAATAAGGACGATTGGATGTGATTGGATTCCTCCATGTCAAAAAGCAGGCAAACATTTTGTAGAGCGCCATGCGCGGTCATAGAAACATTTTGTAGAGGGCCAATCGCTGCGTATCATTGTGTATCGCTGCGTATCGTCGTTTGATTCTAATCCACCTTGTCTATTCTTGTCCTTCACTACAAAATGGTTACTGAGCTGCGTATCATCGCTTGATTTTAACCGATCTTGTCCCTCACATTCCTTCACTACAAAATGGTTACTCGCCGTCTCATTGCGTGAGGGCCCATGATCCAAAAACATCTCTACAAAATGATTTTGAGTATCTGATCCCGTTGAGGTGTGGACCACGCGAAGCTGGAAATTTCATTTTGTAGTGGTCCACAATCATTTCAGATGTCAAGGTCAATTTTTGAATCCCTGACGTTTTGTAGTCAGGATCAGCCTCTACAAAAAGAGACTGACATAGTAAGATTTCATTTTGTAGTGACAAATCTGGAGGTCCACTGTTTTGTATCTACAAAATGCCGGGCCTAGCTACACATGAAATTTCTACGTTGATTTTATTTCATTTTATTTCTATGATGATGGTGACCACTAGCAAATATGAGTTCATTTGCCAGTTTGTTTCTCCGTGCATCGAATGGGACGCCTGATTTTTTGGCGGCTTGTTCTGAGCAACTTTCTCTTTTGCGTGCCAAGAATAGTGAAACAAGCACCAGACATGTTTGACTTTGGTGAAGGTCTCTTTCATAATGGCAAGTTGTCGCTCGCTTGAGGTAGTCACATTCGCTTTGCAGAACTTTATTGACAGGCGCAGCACGGTGACGTCACTTTGATGAAGCGTGCAACCTGATTGCTCTTTTTCAGGGTGAATCATGCTTGCATTTTACAAAGGACAAAAGCGGGACCCCAGTATATTTTGGAAGCTTCTGTGGAAAGAATTGGAAATGTCACAATCCAATCCGGTGCATGTGGAGTGGGAGTCCTAGGTATGTGGAGCCATGATTGCTTGAATGTAAGGATTGGTCTCGTGGCAACTATTTGGTACTGGACAAGCGCATTGTGGGCTGCAGTGACGAAGGACTTCATGCCATGTATCTCTATCAGCATCACCTAATGCTCCTAGTCCTAGTCATCCAATCGTCTCGATAGGGTTCAACTGGAAGAACTCCCTCCAGTGTCCAGTCCAAAGGTACAATGGCAGTATTGGTTCCCGCTTATTCCGTCCTGTTTGTTCGAAACAGCCCCTAGTAGCGTTCTTGTTCCTAGTAGGGATGCCTTTTGCTCCTAGTAGCGTCCTTGCTCCTAGTAGTAAGGCCAGGAGCCCCCAGTAGCGTCCTTGTTCCTAGTAGAGTATTGAAACGATTCTTTCGGACTCGTTCATCAGTTTGCAGATCGCGCGCAGTAAGACATATGTACTTGTACCAGAATACATGGAATGTTTAACAACTTTGGAGGAGATCCTGAATGACTTGCAGCAGGTGGTCGTGTATCCTTCAACCAGTGTTTGGTTGACATTCCTTCCCCAGGCACAGCGCAATCGCATATCGGCTTGATCAAGATTTGTTAGATAGTTTAAGGGATATGCAGCGGCCTCATGACAGTCCTGGATCGCGAGAGGTTGCTCGCTCTTGTGATACAACAGGATATAAGAATGTACCTCAACACATGCACATTCTGTACATAAAACTTGTGGAGGCTAAGCAGCTGGATTTTGAGCACCCTGGTTGCTGCACTTGCCAGGCTTTGAGCTATGTATTGGTGCAAGCGCTTGCGATTCTGTTCGGGCTAGATCTTTGCACAGGAGAGAATGTGACATTGCACGGATGTTGATGAAGCTTGCTTACAGTCGAGAGGAACAGGCACTCAAGGTATGTTGATCATTGTGTCGCGGCAGATTGAATTGCGTTCAGAGTACTCCTGGGAGAATCCAGCTGGAAGACTCGTGTGGAATTCTACACCTTTTAGAACTTAAGAATGGGGAAAGAACTTACTTACTGTATATAAGAGGTGTAAAAATGGAGCAGGCTCTTGAGTTTACAAAACTGTTTGAGACTTTGAACATTGACGAGCAGCCTCCCAGCTGGAGGAACTTGCTTCAGAGAAAAGCGCCGCACTTCGGCAGCACCCATACGTTTGTGATTGAGAAATGACTTCAACGCTTATTCTTGCAACACATGAGTGGTCCTGATATCCAACTGAATCCAACTTTCTGGCAGCTTGAGGCAACTTGGGAATGTGGCAAATGGCAGGCGCTGCGTGGCTTTGCCTAGAGAAACATCTGCCTTGGTTGCACTCCCTTAGTTAAGTAGGTGCCTACTGTAACTCAATTAAGTAGGGAGGCAGGGCCTCGGGCTAAAAAGGTTTTACCTTGGTCCCTTCAAGATCTTCAATGCCATGCGCAGCATTATATTGCTGTATAAGTAGGCAGGAGTACCATCTAGGTGGAAGTTTTGTCGAGGTATTTCTTCGGGCAGCTCTTCACTGTCGCAGCACTGGCATTGGATGCGCCCAGAAACTTGCCGATGTTCATACCAAATGTTTAACTCACGCAGAGTCGCTTCATAGAGTTCTGGTCAGCATGTCAAAGGAGTATGGGTCAAGTCACTCATCCAATCCCCCCCGACCTTGCCTGCTCCAATTGTCTTGTCCAGCGTGTGACACGGTACGCCAGGGGACAAGGTAGTTGTTCATGATCTCGTTGAATGATTAACCTGCTGTAAGGAAGGAGTTATCAGGCAAAGGCATTGTAGTGGGCAGCTTTGGTGAAGGCACCATGTTGCTTAGCATAATGGAATGAATCTTGGACAGGAAAAACAGGAAGGACGACCAACTTGACAGAATAAACCATGGTAAACCTTGAACCTCGGGTTGATTGATTGGGGTCAGGCTCATTGCAAAACACCAGTAGCAGGTCATTACTTCTATTTCTAAGGTACTTGGAGTCGGAGTTCTCATTTCCGTAGCCATAGATCCTTACACTGGTGCTGTTTATTGGGAAAGATCTTATTCCTCAGGCCTGGTCTTCGTAGTGAAGGCCATTGAACCTTTGAGCACCGCTCTACTGGCAATCCCGGTGCTCCATCAGACATTCAATGTAAGGTGCGGCGGAGGGTGATGACGTGTGCCAATGATTTTTTACCTTTTTAACTTTGCAAAAGACCTTTTGGATCAAGCTACTAGTAACAAAGGGCATCGCTACTAGGATCAAGGGCATCGCTACTAGTAGCTCCTGGCATTACTATTAGTTTCACACCACCTCTCTTGAAACAAGTCCGCATCCAGGCTTTTTCTAGCAATCCTCGTGGACACTCGGTGTGCAAAATGTGGATCAAGCGCCTTCGTGGTGTTGGTTCAAGTCCTCTTGTGAAGTGGTGATAGAGGTTCTCAGCGGTGAAGTGAGCAGGATGTTTTTTCATGTCGTGTTCTTTTCCTGTTGTTTCTCTCTGGAGGTCGATTTAATTCGATTTAGCTAACTCAGGCCTGTGTTGGGATTATGATTACTGCAGCGGCATCTCACGGTGGCTTCAATGGGTATCCTGGCTCAGCTGGTGGAATTTCTCATGTCAAGTCAAGTCATGACTAAGGACCCCTACTACTAGTAAGGTCCGCCTTTTTCCTGCAGTGCTGACTTCCTTTCAAAAAAAGCTTCTGGCCAAATTTTCCAAAAGTTGGTGCCGAATAACCCTCCCAAATAGTATTATCAAAAAACCAAATCCTGCAATACCAATGTGTTGTTCCCATTCTTCACCCCCTTGATGTTTGTTTGATAGATGCCCCAGAATTGACCATGTGTTCCACATATTTGGTACCAGCGTTCTGACCATCCTGGGGCGGTTATTTATCATGAGTCGTCATCAGGAATAAAAGATGTGGCAAAGTATATTGCAATGTGAAGTAATGTAAAGCAACACTTTGGGATTCATGTCACACTCATTTTTCTCTTTGTAGGTCTTCTCCTTGCAGATTATAAAGCGAGACCCATGGTGACTGAAAGTACTTTGGCTAAGTGGCGTATGTACATCTGGATACCCTTAGGCTGGTCCATTTTGATACATTTTGCACTACGACAAGACTTGTAGCGATAACATAGTCCCTGTAAAACATTGTAAAACGCGATTCAATGCGTTTGAGGACACCTACTGCTCGAGGGAATAGATAGATTGTGCAGATGTTCATTCTATATAGTGGCTTTAAAGATTTCTGCCGTCTTGGATTCCACAACTGCTTTTTTTGTGTCACATGTATAGAATATATATATATAGGCAACTTTGACAATCTTGCAGTCTAGAAGATCATTCGCTGTTGAAGGGTCCACTACAGCAGCGCCTATATGTCAATGACCCTTGGGATGCTGGCCAATATTGGTTTCTCTTCCAGAGCCTGTGTGGCCAAACGTGTTGCTTGGATTGCATGAGACAACCTTTGGCCCAGTAGTTGTTGAGTGTTGCAGTGCAGGAGCTTGGCGTGTTGGTTTGTAAATGCATTCTGCAAGAGATTTGGCACGACAGCATGAAGACAAGAGCCGTTTGGCGCTGTGCATTCACTCCTCGGTTTTTTTCTTTGCATTCTTATGAAACAGGGACATGTTTAGTTCAGGACAACGAGACAACATTTTTTTTTAGATTACCTCCAAATCCAGGAATTGATTTGAGTCTATCGCGCCCCCCCCTTCCCCTTCTTCTTGCAACCTATTGTACCGTCAATATCTACATGTGCAATCATTTGTAGATATACATAGATGATATAGAGACTATAATTAGGATACTATAGGTATAGACAATGGTTGATATACACATACGCCATATTATATATGGGTGATTTCTTGGGTGTCCAGTGAGGCGCTGGTGTTCGACAGCAACGAGCCTTTAGAGGTTCGGATGTTTTTCTTTTGTGCGATGCCCTTTAATGCCCTTGATACTAGTAGTGATGCCTTTGTGCTACCCTTTTTGCTGCTTTGCTACCCTTTGATTGAGCCCATGTTATTTCAACATGAGAGCTTGTGGAAGCCGAAGCTGAAGATCTGCCTAAGAAGGGAAACTCGAACATAAACTGGCCAGAAATGCCGTGTCACAAGGGTCTTTCATGTTTGAGGCAGGCACAGTGCGGAAGGTGAACATACTGTATGTCTTTTATTTGTGCGCGCTCAGTCATCAGCTTTCAGTATCTTCGGAGCTCACAGGCATATGGGATGTGCACCGTATTTGCAACACAAAGCGGTGTGGCCGCCGGGCACTTTTAGTGACTAGTGAGTCAGTCAGCTTTTTCACTTGAAAAGCAAGCAGCAGCTTCTCTCTCTGAATCTTTGTGGCCATGTTGTGAGGTCTTGCTACTTGTGTGGCTCATCCTGGGCCGCTGCATCTTGAACAATGCGGGGGACATGACTAGTATCTTGCAACATCTTTCTCAACGACCTGGCGCTTGGCTAACAGCAACCTTACTAAATTTGTTCGAGCTGATAACGTCTCTCCAACATTGCGATCACAGACACTCCATTTGGTTCGACGATGCTCCAAGAGCAACTGTGACACGCTTGTTGCATAGGTTGGTTCTCTTGGTGTGTACTGCAAGCGTAGCCCGGGGTGACCATGTTTCACTACAGTGTCAAACAAGCAGAACACAATGAGAAGTCGACATGCCTTATAGGCCAAGCACTTATTCTATCTTATTCTCTTCATTCTTCGGGATATTCACTTGAGATCGCATCCAATTTTCACTTGAAATCCCTGCATCGCACACATTTACTTGCCGGCACTAGCAATATCCCATCACTTTTGCCCTGCTTAGGCATCGTTGACCTATTTTCTTTACCAGGGCTCTTCTATCTTGCTGCTGCTTCTTGTCTTGGTTGCTCCATTGGAAACAGCTGGGCAGTGTCATCGGCACAAGACCCAAGGTCACAAATGCGGGCAACACCCTCCGCAGCGAATGCGAAATATATATATATATATATTCATTAGTTTTCTTGTACTTGCATTGGTTGAGCATCAAAGAAGAACTTGAGAGAAAACTGTCCCAACTTTGCTCAAGGGTTCCAACAGGATCCATTGTGGGGCCGCTGGGGTATGATGAATGTGATGGAAGCATATGGAAGCAATGAGACCAAGGAGCTGCTTCAAGGTTGAGACCCATGCGCTGCTGGTGGCGTTGAAGATTCTCGCGCTTCAGTAGACCCTCCCAACTTAGGGCCCCAGAAGATGAGGTCACTTATCAGTTGGAGGCTGCCCAAGAAGTATCAAGAAGTTAGAGACACTTACAACCACTGAATGGTTTTGTTTTGCACCTGGTCACCTGGACGAGCATTTTTTCCCTATGATTTCAGTGTTTGCTCGGAAAAAGTACTAGACTTGATAGACTCAATAGAGTGCAGCTTACTCGAGGCATGTCTTTGTGGTGGTTCTTGCGTCACTGATTACAGGGGCTGTTGGGTGCCCAGATATGATTTCACAGCCCTTTGTGTCACATTGCCTATGCCTATGCGTTTGTGTACCTCTTTCACCGGCTTGGGATGTCGCTTTCAGCGGATGTACAAGCTATTGCATGCTACTATATGCTACTGAGAACTATTTTGGTCACTTTTGAACCACTTGACACTAGATTCGACTCGTTCGATGTGGTCCAGTGGACACGGACGAGTCTCAGGTCCTGAATCCTCCGATGATCCTAGGGCTCCTTCTGGTGTCCCTGGGGGTGTGCTGGTACCTCTCCAGTCCGGCTCCCAGCAGCTTCAGTCCGGCAATGAAGCAGTCGTTTGTGCAGCGTGTTTGGGTAGTCTTGACAGCTTTGGTATGGTTTGAGAAACCAACTGAGAGAGTCTGATAACCTAGCGCTAAGATGCGCTAAGGAGTTTAGTCTTCGCATGCTTCATTCACCATGGACCATAGAGAAGAACTTGAACACCGACAAGGTTCCTGTTCAACTAGGTCCGAAACAGGGTGCATCACCAGATGACGAAACGGACAACAAAAAGATAACAAAAACAAGAAGATCCTGGACAGCGGAGCGGGAACCATGCAGCAGAGAAGTCTCAGTATACTCTATGGTCCACCTGACATGGAATGTCTAGAATGGATTGTTGCCAGAACCTATACAATGGAGACTGTTGGACCAATTCACAGAAACTGGAGACCAATGCACAATCAACATTAAAGAAACATAGAAAGAGAGAGATTGGTGCCTGCCCATGCGAAGGTCCTGAAGACGAGGACTCGGAGAAGGAGAGCAGGAAACTTTTGAGTTGGGAACTACTTGTCTCAGCCTTTCTACAGATGTAAAGCACCACAACCTGCCCAGCTTTTTTGGCAGTAACTGGCTTGGGGCATTAGTAGCTGCCCTTCAGTGTGCGCTATTTGGGATAGATTTGGCAACCAAGCGCCGCATGCAATGGCAATGCCTTCTCCGCAGGAGCCGATTTTGCCCACCAAAGCCGATGGTTTGGAGCAAAGTGCCAAATCCCCAGCCGACAATAGAGGGATGGCTTACGATGCGTTACCAGGTGTGATATGATCGAATTTTCACTTCTATATTCAAGTCCAAATTGAAACGATCATCAGACCAGGTCTCCTACCCGCTGATTGCAGTGGTCATATCAGCTGGACCCTCAAGCAAATGCTTTTTCTATGTCCTTCCCATCTTTTGCAGGCGCAGAGCAAGTGTATCACACGAGAGTGGACATTGATTTTTAGAATGCTTCGGCCCGGCTCCACTTGAGTCACTTGAGAATGCATGCGCAGGTAACACCTGCTAATAAGAGCAGTGCGCGTAAATACTAAGTAACTATACTAACTGTGAGTTGCGTAAGGTCGCATAAGCTTATTGCGACGCTGCAGTGTGCGCAACAGTGCTATGCAGTGCACAAGCTTGATAATTACGAAAGCCGGCCGATAGGCTAGGCTGGAGTTGATGGGCGAACGAAGTGAGTGTAGGGGGTGTGGGGGGAGGTGTTTAGTTTGGGTAGGGCGAACCCAGAGCCTGGTGGGAAAGAGCGAAAACAGAGGTGGTCCCAAAAGCAATGAACATGTATGCAAGTGAGGTGATTGACGCCGACATTAGCATCATGGGGGGCTCAGGAGGCTATATAAACAGTCTTTCGACAAGGGGTGGGAGTTCATGTCGAGGACAGGAAAGGCGGGACAACGGGACAGGAAGAGCGGAGCTCCTTGAGGAAAGTTCTCTCAACACACTGCTTTCTTGTGGTCAATAAGAGTGGAAGGGACTGACATCGCCCCATAACAAAGGTACTCTTTGCCCGATGATAGGCAATCACGACTTGATCTTGGCAGCAACAACATCGGTCCGCCTTGGCAGCACGCCGAGTTTATGACTCCATCTACGAGACAAAACAAACGGCAGGCAAGCACCCCTCAGTTACTTGTCCTTTTGCAGCCTTCAACCAAAGGAAAAAGGCCCACCCCCACCCTATGTATTCTGCTTTCTAGCTCCAACAGCAGTAGATGTCAGTGCAATGTCGACTTCCCCCCATATCCACGGCAATTGTTCCCTGAAATTAGGCAATCACATGATCTTGGCTGTAAATTTTCATCGGTCCACTCTTAGCAGCACGCCGGCTTTATGTGTCCACCTACAGCACAAGAGGAACAGCAGGCAAGCGCCCCTCAGTTACTTAAGGTACTCTTCTTTCTCTTGTGCGCGCCCCTTGAACCGAAAGAAAAGGACACCCCACCCCTTCCCCCTTTTCTTGCTCAAATCAACCATTCTCCCCCCAAACTGTAAATTTCCTCTCGACTCAACTTTTTCTTATGCACTTCTATCCTATACTAATGGGCCTTGATAGGTAACTTGGTGTACAAACAACCTGTCATATCGGCCTTCACTGCGAGACTTCCCGCCTTTGCCTTCCCATGCCCGACAGCGGCTCCAGTGCGCTCCCGACTTCACCCCATAACCACATTGCTGTCTTCTTACGGAGGCTGGCTTTCGTCTCCTCCCTTCTCAGGTGAGTGATAATGTTGGATTTTCTTTAAGTTTAATTTGATTGAATATGTGTTCTTTGCCGTCGCTACTAGTGTTCTTTATATTCAGTGTCAGCCTCCAGAACCTGACACTTGCCAACCAAACTTGGAGTGAATGACACTTAACGTATCGTGCAACTGTCTGGCATCATTGATGTTAGTTTTTTGCATGCTTTTCCATCTTATTGAAGCTCATGTTGTCTGGAGTAAAATACGTGAACATGTGCGCAAGCAGGGCGTAAGCAGTGCGTAAAACCAGAGTTTCCTTCGTGGACTCGTGCATCAGTCCAAACTGGTGATGTAACTGAGTTCACACGAAAACATATGGCACAGAAAACGCACAACACCGGCAAGATGCCAACTCCAAGAGATCTCTCCAAGGGTACAAGAGGAAGTCAGACTTTCAGCAAAGGCAAGGGCCTTGAGCAGACAAACAGCCAAAAGGCGCAGCAACTCGCCGCACAAACAACTGTTGACGATGAAACGGTTTCATCAAGTTCATCAAGTTCTTCATCAAATTCAGAAACATAATCGACTAAACAATAGCTTAGTCAGACCTTTTTGTTAGCGCTTGATTCTGGGCACCGGCGATCACCAACGTCTAGGCTAGAAACGATATATATATATATATATTCAATCAAATCCCAGGTTTGGCACCAAACAGGTTTGCGCTAGCCGATTGCCTCCGAAAAAAAGAACTCAAGTATTGACCAAGGTGGTGGGTCTTGGCACCTTTTTGCCACTTTGGCACCTGTGAAGACCTGAGATTCAGACACTATGCTGAGCAGACATGGTGACAGAAGCAGAGATTTGACCAAAGATTCCGATCATAAAACCAAAGCCCTAGCTTCTGGCCTGTGTGGCCAGATGTACTCACGGAAGCGATTCTTGCGGCGTTTCCGTGAGAAACATGTTGCTGAGAGATTGTGTAAAAAGAGCGCGCCCAGAGGATATTGGTGATGGAAAGGCAGATCGTTTCTAGTTGCTAGTTTGAACCTGGAAGCCCCTTTCCATCCCATTCCTGTTTCATGTAACTGTACTTTGAAGGATGCAATTACGCGACTAAGGTTTTCAGTTGTAATGAGATGGGCTGCATCCACTCTTCTTGCGGCAAGACATTGGATTGATGTTTAAATTGGCTGGAATCAGTTCGGACGCAGGGGATTGTACACAGTTCTACTACCTTCGCAATGTCAGAGTCAACACGAGAAAGCAGAGTTTGCTTAGCAAACTGCATCACTTTCATGAGCTTCGTATATGATGAATGATTCCTTTATTTTATTCAAGCACAGCTTGAATTGTGGAGGTGCTTTATGATGAGCCCACTGGACGACTTGCGTTGGTTTTTGAGCTCATGGCCTGGAGTCCGAGCTGTGAGGGCGTGAGGTCAAGTGTCCATACAAAGCAGAAAACAAAACTACTGGACTACGAAAAGAGATACAGTAAATTACTAATTTGTATACTGTCTGTGTTTTCCTTTTTTAAATCTTTTGTCACTGTTTTTTGTTTATCATTGTTTTCTGAGACCATTGGATTCATTGGATCTGTCTTTTTGCCTCAACATAGCAATCACCCAAGGAGTCACTTGAACTCCATGCCTGCTAGATGTCTAGTAACTGAGGACATGAACCTTTACGAAGCCATCAAAGGACGTCGACACTATCTTCCCGAGAACAAAGCTCCAGCCTTAGTCGACTCAGCATACCTATGCAGGAAAGTCGACGTTTGTCGATGCTGTGCTTAGGATTTTCTCATATTAACCATGAACCATTGGTGTATGAAATGGAACGTGAAATGACATGACATGGTGCATGGAATGACATCCTTTCTGCGTGTTTCAGCAAGCATCCGAAGCATCGTCAGATGGATCTTGAGGTGAAGCACTATATGTACGAGATGCTCAAGGCTTTGATTTTCTTAGCTCCTAACAACCATCTGAGTTTTTTTTGGCTTCTAACAATGACAATACAGTATAATAAGTATAGAATGGAGTTCCCACCAAAAACGTGTGTCAAGTCCTTTCTTAAACAAGACACAAAAACAAACACACCAGCACTTGACGGGCCGACCTTTGGCAATTTTAGTATATCCTCTCGCATCCATGCACTGTAAAAGACAAGCTAAAATGTGCGGTGCCAAGCTGCTTATAGAATGTAAGATGAATGTACAGTAAACAGGAAACACCCTGTTGAATCAAGAAAGGGACACTTTGGGAACACGTGGACGCCCTGGTACAGCTTCTAGGCACTGGATCACATGCATCGGAATGGTATATTTCACCGGGATGTGAAGCAGCCTGGCTGATGATGGGGGTAGGAAATTGGCATGAAATTCCATATTCAATAGTCGTTGGAGTCGTTGTTGTCTCTTGCCAGAATCTGTTCTTGTGTTGCCTTACATCATCACAGTAACCACTGACATTCGTTCGACTTTGCCCTGCCTTGGGGAGTCTTTCTTCTCGCTTTCCATGTTCGGTTCGCGATTGCAGTTTCCGAGACATCATTCAAATCTTGAGGTAAAGTCTCAGAACGTGCTTTCTGATGCGACCCATCCTAGGCCAGAAAATCTCCTGCTGCTTGATGCCTCGCACTGAGGGATATTTAATTTGTTGATTCTTGAGACAAATTCGAAACTCAGTTGATTTGTCTAGTGTAGGGCAATGTAGGGCAACAATCATTCACCAGACAAGGAAAATTGCTTTTGGTGCAAGTAAACTTGTGCTTATGTTGGTAATGGCTGAGATGATTGGCGGGATTTTACAAACAAACCAGGCTGATAAATGAAGCCAAGCTAAACAAATTCTCAATCAACCTCACTGGCTGAAAACCAAGGACGAGATTAAGCTCGCAGATCTAGGCAGCTGCCGAGGCATCTACTCCCGACAGCCGCGCCTCGGCCATTTGATGACAGCCGCAGGTGTGCGACAGTAGCTGCAATAGACGAAAATTCGGATGATAGTCGTTGGATATGTTGGATGCGCCCTGGTGTTGCCTTTATGCCAACATGCTGAGCCGAGGTTTACCGAATACATCTCCACAAGGCAAGAAAACAGATAAGACAGTGGGTCAGGAATGGACAAACTTGCTGCTTGGCCTAGTTGATTTGCTGGGAAAGGATTTCAGTAGAATGCACAGTCATTAGGAACAACGATCTGACAGTTGAGCCACTTATTTGTGTGGAAGTTTGTGATCATTCCGTCGCAGGTGGTACAGGGCTCCAGAGTGTCTTCTGACGGCACTTCGACTGAATTGATCCCTGGTGGTGCGAGCACTCTCCAATCCAATATGTTCCAATGTCATTTTGCGCTTCGCCGAGTTCATGTAACTCTTAGTTTTACCACCCGTAGAGTGGGTACCTCTAGGGTTGCCGTCGCGAGGATTTGGCCTGTACCTCACGATATGATACGATATGCATGTATGTTCATTCTAGCATTGAATCTATGAAATTGGGGGAACCGCAACAGACCCAACAAGCAAGAACAAGACTCTTTTTCCGGTGGACACAAAGCCCCCATCGAGTCTCTGGCTCCTAAGTGCTTGCCTTGAGTCGAGCGTGGGCGTCCAGTGCATTTTCACACCGGCCCTACTCTAACGGCCAAGCGAGACCAAGAGAACGTCACGCGTGGTGCACTGGGTTCTATGGCCTGTCTCGGAGAGTGACCAGTAACCGGTATTGCAAACACATCTAAGGAAATCCGAGTTCATCTTTTTCGTAAGGGGGTCCGCGATCATGTTATCACCAGCAACCCAGCGTAAAGAACCCCCTGATCTATAGAGATCATCCTTTAGTATGGCTATGTCTATAGCCGTTCTCTTGTCCTCTACTTGAGAGTAGGTGCACACCAGCTTGTTGATGCAGTCGTATAGCGACCGAGAGTCAACTACTGAGACATAGGGGATGGCTGCCAGATGCCGCTCCCAATCCTTGGATTCCATGGTCGTGCCCATCAGTTCGAGCAGGAGGTAGCGGTGCCAGTGGATATGGCCAATGCCATGGACTAGCGATTGGCATTCTGCGCTCAGGGTGTTGACTGTCTTTCGTTTGAGTTTTGTTGACTTCCATGAAGTCACGGAAACCATGTGAGGTCGATCTTCGGTTTCCATTCTCTTGTCATAAAAGATCATCACATAGCCTCCTTGGCTGCTACAGTTGAGTAGCTTGAGGAAGGTGTCGTTGATCTTTCCATGTTCCAACTCATGTCCTGGAAGCTGTTTGGTGAAGATGGTTTTTCCAGTCCAAGGGGAGTCCGACCAAGTTCGGACACTATTTCCTTTTGTCCATTCATCTTCTAGAACTTCTTCATTCGCTGTCATCGTTCTGCGACCTGGTTGTAGGTCATGAAGATCTGGTCCTGGATCGGCTCCTGGGTGGAATAGGACCCTCCTGGGAGTGACATGATGTCGAATCCAGTGTGATGGTTTCTCTTCCCAGTAGTCCTGTGAACTAGCTTCCAGTTGGTCTTGGCTTCTAGCGTTGGACCATGAAGCGTCGGTCGCAACTCCGATTCGCAGGTTCTCTGGCGGAATCGGCATAATCTTGATGCCGCCCGAGGGATGTTTTCTAGCCTCCTGAGTGATGGAATTGGCCTCGATGATGTCTTTGATACGAGGGTTTGGAAAGACCTGTTGGAGCAGAGCCACTCTTCCGGCCAGGTCTGGCCTGCTTTCTTTGGCGAGCCAGGCTAGGGCTCCAACACTGGCGCGGAGCTGCGTGATTTCCTTGTCGTCACAGAAGGTGTATCTCTTTTTCTTTCGTTGTTTTTCCAGGTTGATCTCGAAGAGCTTCTCCTGGATGTAGTTCTCCTGGTTCACGGTGATGCTCGAGTCCTCTTGTTGGACAAACATTTTTCCAGTAAATTTTCCAGATCCATATTGGAATTTTCCAAGCTTGTACTTTGCCTTGATCTGGTCCATAGCCTTTTGGTGTTCTTCGTCGCCTCCATGTAGAAGGTCATCCGTAGCGACCGCAATGATGCCGCTGAGGACCGGCTTACCAGTAAGGGGACTGGCCCGATGTTTGTAGTAGATGCACGGATCTGCCAGTGACTGCTGGTATTGTAGTTGGCTGGTCAGGAACTTCTTGAGGTGATTGTACCATGCCAATGGGCCATCAGTGAGGCCGTAGCAAACCTTTTCAAGTTTCAGGAGTTGGCACGGTGCAACTCCAGGGATGCCTTCGCGAGGTGGAGTTGCATAAAGTAGTCGTTCAATCGCATCTCCACTATGGAAAGCTTGGGTGAAGTCCAAGAAGCCGAGTTTCCAGCGATGACTGGCCACCAGTTGGGCGACCATGAGAGTTCCTTCTCTGGTAACCTGAGGTGTCGTTGCCTCGATGTCCTCGGAGCCTTCTTCGCTAAACCCTTTCATCACACGTCGGGCTTTGGCCTTGCAAGGTTCTTCGGAATCCCAGTCGAGGAGGATTCCTTCCTGTTTGGCTGGTTCTACTCCGTGAGGTTCCAATGGTTTTGGAGTCAGTACCAATCGACTTTCCATGATTCGGTGTGGCATGGTTTGTCGAACCTTTGCTGACTCTTCTGGGGAGACAATGGAGTAGGCGCCAATGTTGATGTTGTTGTTGAATTCTTTGCCGATTGCCGCCTTGAAACATTTTTGGTTCTTGAAGCTCAGTTCCTGAAAGCGAACTTCCTTTCTCTGTCTTGTTTTCATCAGGTTGTCAACCTTGTTCAGGTAGATCTCCAGGTATTCATGTCTCAATCTTTTTAATGGCGGTTGTTCTTGGGCTTCTCCTTCATCATAT